AGACCTTCAGGAGGGTGATGTCTGGCATGACTCCCTGCTGTGAATTAGGTAGGGGAAAGTTAGTATTGGGACTGCTTGCCCGTCCCTTTACAGAACTGCAACCGCCGGTTTACAGCCACGCGGTTTACAGCCGCGAGGGGCTGGGACAGGGGCAGAGTTCATGCTTGCAGGATTGCTGCCAGCAGAGACTCGCATTGCTTTCTATGTGAAAGGAGGCCAGTGCCACTCTTAAAGTTTTAAGCAGCCCCAAGTCTACGGCTTACCATGTTTGCCAGCTAGACAAAGTCCGCTGTCCTGCCCCGCTCCTCAGCTCGCCACAGCAAGACCGCAAGCACTGTACGCGAGGGCCGAAAATTCGACCTTGTCCTCAGTGCGCGTGTGATAGGTGCTCTGCATGGTCTTGTTCACAGAGAAAGACTATGTTCTCTGTTCACAGATACATTGATCTGTCTCAGGAATTCACTCCCTTTTTCCAATTCCCACAGCCACATCTGCCGAGAGGCTAGCGCACATTAGGAGGAGGAAGAAGAGGACACGGGAAGACATGTTTGCTGAACTAATGGGATGCTCCCGAGCACAGGCAGCCCAGCAGACACAGTGGAGGGAGAACTTGTCCCAAATGCACCGGGCAAACATGGAACGGGAGGAGAGGTGGCAACAGGAGGACTGGCAGGCTACTCAAACGCTGCTTGGACTAATGAGGGAGCAAACGGACACGCTCCGCCGCCTTGTGGATGTTCTGCAGGACCGGAGGCAGGAGGAGAGAGCCCCGCTGCAGTCTCTCTCTAACTGCCCTGCCCCGCCACCAAGTCCCATACCCCCCTCACCCAAAGTCCAAACACGGAGGGGCGGCAGGGTCCGTGAAAAATTTCACTCCACCCCTGCGGACTGCTCTACGACTAGAAGGCTCTCATTCCCCAAAATTTGAAAAGTCCTTTCCTACCCGCCTCACACAAGACCCCGTCCAAGTTTCACCCCCCCGTTCCATGTGCGGTTGTTAATAAAAAATACGTTTCTGTTCATTACTGTTTCCATCCTCTTCTTTTGGAGGAGAGTCTGTCTGAAGGGGGGGGAAGGGGCTTGGTAATTGGACAGGACAGTCACCTTTAGCAGGGGGCAGGTCCAGCAGCAGGGTACATATACAGTGCAGTGACTAGTTACCCTGGTCAGTCTGGGAGGTGGTTTTCATGTCCTGGGGGGGAGGGGGGGTTGCTCTGTGACTTTGTGGCGGGGGAGGGCAGTTACAGATCTTATGCCACAGTCTGAGTCCCAGGTTTAAAACATTCCCGCGAAAACAGTAATAAAGACAACGGTGTCCATTAACAAAACAGAACAGATTTTATTTTTTGGGAAGGGGGTGAAGGGGGTATGTAACTGGAGAGGCTAGTCGACGGCAACCGGGTAAAGAAACGGGGGCAAGTTCAGCTTCTGTGTCCACAAACTTAAAAGTCACTGGGTACCCTGCTCAGTCTTGAAACTGGCTTTCAAAGCCTCCCGGATGCACAGCGCATCCCGCTGGGCTCTTCTAATCGCCCGGCTGTCTGGCTGGGCGTAATCAGCAGCCAGGCTATTTGCCTCAACCTCCCACCCCGCCATAAAGGTCTCCCCCTTGCTCTCACAGAGATTGTGGAGCACACAGCAAGCTGCAATAACGATGGGGATATTGGTTTCGCTGAGATCACAGCGAGTCAGTAAGCTTCTCCATCTCCCCTTGAGACGGCCAAAAGCACACTCCACGACCATTCTGCACTTGCTCAGCCGGTAGTTGAAGAGTTCTTGTGCAGTGTCCAGGGCGCCAGTATAGGGCTTCATGAGCCAGGGCATTAGCGGGTAGGCTGGGTCCCTGAGGATCACTGTAGGCATCTCCACATCCCCAACAGTTATCTTGTGGTCCGGGAAGTAAATGCCTTCCTGCAGCCGTCTAAACAGACCAGAGTTCCTGAACACGCGAGTGTCATGAACCTTGCCCGGCCATCCGACGTTGATGTTTGTAAAACGTCCCCGATGGTCCACCAGTGCTTGCAGCACCATTGAAAAGTAGCCCTTTCTGTTGATGTACTGGCTGGCCTGGTGGCCCGGTCCCAGGATAGGGATGTGAGTCCCATCTATAGCCCCACCGCAGTTTGGGAATCCCATCGCTGCGAAGCCATCTATGATGGCCTGCGCTTTTCCCAGGGTCACTACCTTTGACAGCAGTGCCTTGACGATTGCCTTGGCTACTTGCAGGACAACAACCCCCACGGTAGATTTGCCCACGCCAAAGTGGTTCGCGACTGACCGGTAGCTGTCCGGCGTTGCAAGCTTCCAGAGGGCTATGGCCACTCGCTTCTGGACAGTCAGGGCTGCTCGCATGCGGGTGTCCTTGCGCTTCAGGGCAGGGGACATCAACTCACAAAGTTCGAGGAAAGTACCCTTCCGCATGCGAAAGTTTCGCAGCCATTGGGATTCATCCCAGACCTGAAGCACTATGCGGTTCCACCAGTCCGTGCTTGTTTCCCGGGCCCAGAATTGCCGTTCAACAAAATCCACATGCCCCATTGCCACCGTGATGTCCTGGGCGCTGGGGCTCATGGTTTCTGACAGCTCTGTGCTACTCTCCGACTTCAGGCCCTCACGGCGGTGCCGTAGCCTCCTCGCCTGATTTCTCTGCATCTGCCTCTGGGAAAGGTGTATGATAAGCTGCGAGGCGTTGAGAACGGCCACAACTGCAGCGATGGTCGCAGCGGGATCCATGATCGCAGTGCTGTGGCGTCCGCGCTGTCACTGATCAAAAAGTGCGCGAACTGATTTCCCGCCGGCGCTTTCAGGGAGGGAGGGAGGGCGGTAGTGACTGACGGATGACGACAGTTACCCAAAAGCACCCTCGCCACATTTTTTTACCCAGAAGGCATTGGCGGATCGACCCAGAATTCCAATGGGCAGCGGGGACTGCGGGAACTGTGGGATAGCTGCCCACAGTGCACCGCTTCCAATGTCGACGCTTGCCCCGTTAGTGTGGACTCACAAAGTCGAATTACTGTCCTTAGTGTAGACACACACGTTCGACTTTCTAATATCGATTGCACATATTCGATTTAACTAAAATCGAACTACTCTCGTAGTGTAGACATACCCATAGACTTACATGATCAAATAGAATAATACTATACTATCACTTATTCAAATAAGATCGAGAGGGTTGTTCCTGTTCCTGGAATTTGTGGACATTTTGATTCTTCCCTTACCAACACTATGAATCGAAGAAGAATTCTTATAACTTGCCATTATGTTTAGTACTTTACCTGGATTTCTGACCAGAATATCTGTTCACTACATATAAATTATTTGCTGTAACTGCTCTAAATACCTATTTTATCAGATACAACACACACCTGGAGAGATGCAGTTCTGACTAGCTAAACTGATATGAAAAATTAATATTTTTTGCTTGTCAATTCCTCTAACAAGTCAGCAACTTTAATGGGCAGCAGGAAAGGTACATACCATATATTGGCTAAGTTGAAGCACAATACTTTCACTTCTATACTGATCTTATCCTTTCTAAAGCTTGTTCTATGCTTCTTGTAGGGATAGGTTAAATCCATATGAATCCCTATAACATGATACTCGTTGTGTCAACATCATGTGTATTTGCTATTTTTACATTCATTTTATTTTAATTTCTTGGAGAGGTTATTCTTTTCCTCCTCCCTTTACTGGGTCCTACAGCAGTGCCTTAGGTATTTCTGCTCAGGGTAGGTATGAGCTCTGCTTCTTTCTTGTTTCAGGGGAAACTCTACAAACCTTCATAAATATGTTTTTCCATGAGTATTTAGGAGTAATAACAAATATTTCAGGCGTTTTCCATAAATAGATAATTTTATGTAGAAAACTTCAGAAAAATATGACAAAATAAAGTTTTGTTTTCTCAGTACATGATTCTAAAACCCTTGCTCACATCCAGTAATCCTTACTGATTCAAGTAGTCCCACTGAAGTCAGTTATTAATACTGCCAATGGGACTTCTTGCATAAGTAAGTATTATTCTGTGTGAGAACTTCTGCAAACATTGATTTGCAACTTAGCAAGACCTACATTCAATAACACACAGAAAAAGGAAATGTATTAAATATTAAAATTAGTGAAAGGGTCACCATCAAGAATCAGTAAAATGGTCATTAAATGTTATCTTCTGTAGTCTAGTATGTTTCTTATGAATCTTATTTTTCTTGCCTATCGACACATTGGTATTCAAGCTGATATTTCATTGAGTGTATTACCATATACTATATACAGTAGTTTGCATTGATTGCTTCTTTTCTGGAAGTAAAATAAAGTAGATCTGCTGTAGTTTATTGTTGTTATGCCACTGAGATCTTGGACTTAGGTTAAGTGATTTAGAGACAGCTATCTGTCATCCTTTGTCACTTTCTGTATAACTTTTGCAATTTGTTTACAGATAATTTTTATTTTCCGGTAGTAAACTTATCAGACCAATACTCCAACCTCTCCCATGATTGTAAAGCTTATTTACACCTTTAGGAGTTGCAGGTATACTCGAACCTGATATGTTATGTCATACTGTATGTCCAGATGATATACTCCACTGAAAATGGTTGAGGATATTATTTTTGTGTGTGAGAGAATTTACTACCCCTCAAGTGTAAAGGTAGAACTAAAGAGTTCTGAAACCATATAATTCCACAAAAGCTTGACAGTTTTATTTGTAAAATACAGTTGCAATTTCCCATGAGGCATTTAAAACTCAAACTATATCATAAATACAAAGAGTTAGACTTAAGGAAACTGTGTGCAATGGCCTCCCCTAACATTGCTAAGTTTTTCCTAAGGGGTGAGTATTTAAGAGGTTATGTTGGAATGGGGATTTTATGAATGGGACTCATAGGGTTAGCAGCCTACAAAGCCATTGTTTTGGTCTATTAGATTACAGTTCAGGTTTTTGTTAGTCTTTGTTAGAATGAATAAATCACTGTAACTTTCTGACTCTATTTCATTTTCAGGATTTTGGAACGCTATGTTCAAGATCAGATTCCTGGTGCAACGGTTGTGGTAGAATCCATTGGAGCCCGCAGATTTGGAGATGGCTTTTCAGAAGAGGATTACTCCAAATCTGACTTAATGGTCTATGCAATTGACCCTCAAACAAACCGAGCTATAATGAGGAATGAACTTTTTAAGTAAGTATCTAAAATCATTTGTCACTGATGTCTGTATTCTTGTTGCCTGTTTTGCAGCCCACTATCTTTATTTTCCTTCAGTGCCTTGGACTTCTGCTGATTCACAACCTTCAATTCCATTCTTCCCAAGATTCTTACAGATCTCTGGAAAAATATGGTGTTTGTGGGTGCCTCCTGCTGCTCATTCCACAAAGACAAACCCTGTACCTACAATGGATTGATGGAGGAGCTTATTATGGAGTGGATTCTCATGGATCTTTTCTACTCTAGTGAAACCAGTGGTCACCTTTATGTGGGAGGGGGCAATCCAAGACTAGATTGATAGTGGCTGAAAGTCATTGCCATATATTAAATGTCTAGACATTTATATGTGTAGTGAGAATATGCACAGTCTAGGATAGGATCTACATAGGATTAAAAAAATTATAGGGGTTATAAACCTTCATGCTTCAGGGCTGAAGCCAACCACTAATTAATGGGGTTAAGAAAGAACTTCCCCTCTGGGTAGTTTGTGCCATTGCTCACTACAGGGTTGATGCACTTTCCTTTAAAGGTGGTACTGGCTGCTGTTGTAGACAAAATATGGCAGTAAATCTAATAGTCTAATCCACTATGGCAATTCCTTCACGTTCTTAATTAATTTCCAAGTGGGTGAACATTTGCCAGCATCACAAAAACCACCACAACTATTGGCTTATCTTTGGTAGTCTCAGAAGCCAATGACCGAATGGCATGGAAACTAAAGTACTTTCTCACTTCTAGACATGGTATCTCTAGGTAATGGCTGGGGGTAGTTTATGGGACTAAATGAGTACCTTACTCTACAGAGATGTCATTCTGTCACTTTTTGTAAGCACTGTGTTCAATCAAAATGTGTATATGAATAAATAAATTCCTTCTCTGCCACCTGCAGAAATCACCCTCTTAGACCTATTATTTTTATCTTGGTTTCCAAATGTATTTCCATGAGCCTTGTATTTGTATGAAAGCAAGGAAAAGGCTTACCTAGTCTTTCCAGATCAACTGTTGTCTGCTGCTTCTTCCTACATTTTGTCTGAGTGTTTGCTTCTCCCGCAATGAGAGTTAGACCAGAGCATTCAGAGATGGCATAAGGCAGTCTGTGTCTGTCACAGATCTAAAAAGCAAATGGCCGTAAGCTTTCTTTTGGATTAATTACAGTCTGAGGCACCTAGATCCATACAGGCAAAAATTATGAGGCCAGAAGAGACCAGTGTAATCATCTAGTCTGATCTCCTGTATAGCAGAGGCCAGAGCAGTTTCCAAAATTAATTCTTGTTTGAACTAGAGTATATCTTGTAGAAAAACATCTAATCTTGATTTTAAAATTTCCAGTGCAGAATTCATCATGCCCCTTGGTAAATTGTTCCAATGGTTATTTATCTTGACTGCTAAAATGTTGTCTCTTATTTCTAGTCTAGTTTGTTAAGCTTCAGCTTCCATCCATTGGATTTTTCTAGATTGAAGAACCCTCTATTATCTAATTTCTATTCCCCGAGTAAATATAGGAGTGATCAAATCACCCCTTAATCTTCTCTTTGATAATTTCCTTGAGACTTTAACTATAAAGCATGTTTTCCAGTCCTTTAAGCATTCTTCTCTGAACCTTCTCCAGTTTTTAAATGTCAGACACCAGAACAGGGCACAGTATTCTGATAGTAGTTGTAACAATACCAACTCCAGAAGTAACATAATCTCTATACTCCTACTTGATATTCCCTTGTTTATGCATCCAAATATCTTGTTAGCCCTTTTAGCATCATACTGGGAGCTCATAGTCAGCCGATCTTTCACCACAACTCCAAAATCTCTTTCAGAGTCTGCTTCTCAAGATTGAGCCTCCCATCATCAAAGTATAACCTGCTTTCTTCCTAAATTTATGACTTTACATTTAGTCATACTGAAACTCGTATTGTTTCCTTGCACCTAGTTAAGCAAGCAATCCAAAGTTGCTCTGTATTTGTGACCTGTCCTCTTCTTTATTTAACATTCCCCCAATTTTTTTGTCATCTGCAAACTTTATCAGTGATGATTTTATGTTTTGTTTCATGTCATTGATAAAAGTGTTAAATAACACAAAGCCAAGAATCAATCCCCCCAGGACCCTACAAGAGCCACAACAATGATGTTTCCCCGTTTACAATTACATTTTGAGACCTATCAACCAGTTCTAAATCCATTTAATGTGTGTCAGAGATGCAAATGGATGATAGAACAGACAGGGTGAAGCAAATAGTTGCATGATGGATGGATTGAGGGATTACATACAGTTCCTGGATTAGGCTGACCCCCTTGAAAATCAGTGGGTGCTTGTTACAGGTCCACTGAGGAAGTACAGAAGAGATCTGTTGCTGTATCCATAAAAAGAGTGCTTGTCAAATCCCCCGAGAAGAACCCAGGACCCAATTACCTCATCAGTTGCACTCAACTCTCAGCAAAGTCAATGGGAGTTGTGTCCACAACTGGTGGGATAATCTGGCCCCTGCATTATGAGAGGTATTTGCATGTGGGATACATTCAAATTAAATGGGGCCCACAGTTTAGGCCCCCGTAAACTCTTCATTGCTGCTGTCCCTTGACTCTTTCATCCCAGATGACCACATTTGATGGTGGAGTTGTTGGGAGTCTTGGGAAATTAGAGAATGGCTCTACCAAGTGCAAACTAGTCTGAACATACTTCCTGTAGATAGCGTGTGCTCCAGCTATCATGATGATTGTGATAGCCCTTGTAGATCCTTGTAGCCCAGTGTTCCTAAATTCAGACTTGGATTCCAAATGTGGTAGTGCAAGATCCTGACTTAATCTACCTACATACAAAGTGAGCCAATGCACATGCATGTAGGCAATTACCTGTTTTGTGCACACACTGTGGATTTTTGCTGGCAATATGCCCTTGTGTGGACAGAAAATTTGGCCATATTTATGTCAGGGTCCATTGAAAGTACAGAAATGTATTTTGTAGTCCAGACTTGGATATACAGTACTGTATAGTGAGGAGAGGTTAAAATGCAAATGTTCAGACATATAAAAAGCATTAGCTTTCCCGGTTTGTACTGCTAAAGGATAATACTAGCTGTGGAAGGAACCTCATTAAAATGCTTCATGTGCCTCCATAGTCAGTGTATTTTTTTTTCTTTTAAAGCTTTTAAAAATTTAAATCAGCAAAATCCTGGAGAATGCTTTCCTGCCCTTGGGGTAGAGGTGAATAAGCATCCTCATAGTAAAGTAAAGGAGAGGAATGAAGTAAGAGTTTCATTACTTGAAATCTGAAGCATTACCATGTTTTAGCTAGTGATGGGTGAATCTCAAAAGATTTGGTTCAGATAAGCTCAGATGCTTATTCAAATCTAGAGAAACTCCCGCCCTAAAACTGCAGCCTTCCTACCTGTAGTTGGGCTTTTAACGGGGAGGTTCAGTGATCCTTCCCCACCGCACAAGTGGGATGTCTTCAGAGGCAACATTAGTGGTCCTCCTCCCACTGGAAAGAGATTGCCAGGTTTTATAACCATCCCATGCCAACCCACTAAGAATGATCATCGCAGGGAGTTCAGTACCAGAAGGAAGATTCTTGGTGGCAGGGAACCCTGTGTAATAAACAGCAGATGCCAGGGGCTAATAGTCAGAGATAGAGAAACACATCAAGTCTCTATTTAAATACAGAGATGGAGATGGCCAATGGTGGGAGTTATGGGATGGTACTGGGGATGGGTCTGCCTAACCCAGTATTTCCCAATCTTGGAAGAGACTCATATTTTAATATAGGAGGTACGGAGAACATTCAGAACAGTTCCTATTTAGCCCATGAGTTTGCCCATTTGTAGTTTTAGCATTCATACAAAATTATTATTTGAGTATGGGAAAATACTTTCAGATGTCCTTCAGTGATCCTTTACTAAACATTAACTTACAATACATATAGTGTAATTCTGTATATGATCCATAATTGGATCACTGGCTTTAATCTACATTTTGAGCTTTAATAGAAGGTTCCCGCCTTTACCTGTCAATTTCAGAAAAGAATCTTTAATTGGGTCTATTGATGAATATTGGGATATGACCCTGGCCCTTGTGTCAGCAGATCTGGTCCCCTAAACATTCCCCATATATGATGAATTTTCAGGTGACTTAGAGGCACAATAGCAATTCCTATACTATCCCTTTGCCGCAAAGAGCACGGTTTGTACAAGAGGGAAGTGGTTGAGGTATCCTGTCATCTCTTGCTGCCAAAATGGACCTAAGGGCTATTGGCAGCTAGACACAAGTTAGGGCAGCATCAAGGCTGTCTAACTTACACTACTGCTCCAGTCTCCAGCTAGTCTCAGAGTTAGACGGGGGGGGGGGAACGAATACCTAAAGGTACCTAAAGCCACTATTATACTCACCTCCTGAACTGCACCAAGTGTAGCTTGAATGCAGTTCAGCATCTGAGTCATTGGCTAGAGCAGATGTGGTATCACCGTAGCAATTTTTCAAATTGTATTTAATCATTCCCACTCAAACAGTTCTGTTCAAATAACATATAAGATTAGACTTGCAGAAACAAAAGCCAGTAAAATTTGAATTTTGTTTAAAATTTAAACTTTAGCCTATGCTGCTCATTGCCAATTGGGCACAGTAAGAATTTCTCAGAACCATGGGTGATTTTTACATATGCTAATCATTATAATACTTATGAACAATGAGGACTGCACAGTCTTCTTCAGAACTCGTGATCAATAAGGGTTAAATATATGATCTGTCTTGGCCTATGTGCTGTCTTGTGAATGCACAGTAAGTATAGAAAATCTATTTGAGGTTATTCTCAAGTATTGCAGCAACTGTATCAAATTATTTCCTCCACAAATGACTAAAAAGCAATGAAACCATTTAAACTATTTGGACTGAAAATACCAGCATATTTTAATTACACGTTTTTTATTTATTAGCGCACTAAAAGCATTGTAATTTATAAAAAATTCTCTTCTATCTATTCACCTTAAAAA